ATCATCATCATCATCACCACGGACAGTTCGACCCTTGAGAATGACGGCATCATCAAAGTCAACTAAACTTTGGTAGGTATTAGAGGCTCCAGAGTCAATCTAAAGGCACTTTTCTCACTTTTTAATGTACAATACGTTAAGGAGTGAGTTCTGATTTAGATAAGCATTTGTCCAAACGGAGATCCGTAAAGCAGTAAGCTAAAGTGCAGTTTGTCAGAGCTCGAGTGGGCGGTGTCCACTGAGACAACTGTTCGGGTGATATGAACCCGCCAGAAACAGAGGAGTTTCCATTCCACACTTAGGCATTCAAAACTAAGCATATCGAGATATTTCCAAGCCAAAAGTGCCAAAAAGTACCAGAGAAAGTGTCTTCCCCCGGGATAGCTTGCCTCTCAGTGTTTGTGCGTCGCTTTAGCATGCACGTATTTAGAAATAAACACTAAGGCTTGCGCGTCACTATTTAAGTGGATGGTTTTGGAAGGCGTCTCAGGAAGTGTCCTCTAAGGCCCCATAGCAGACCATAAAAACGAAGACCTCACTGATGGGTCAACTGTTAATAACGAAACACAACTCACGAAGAGTGCGCGACATCCACGAGTCTCAAATCACAAGTCGGGGCGAGAAAGTGGTGAGGACAGCCTTTTTTTTAGCGAGGCTGCACAATCTTTTTAGGGCTGGAGGGGCAGGCAGTCCCAGCAAGCGCGTCAGACACGTGGCCGCTTGGTAAATCGTGATTGGTTGACTAGATGTCAAGGCCAATACCGGTCAACTAATCAGGAAGTCCGTATCCGCCTGAACCGTCGACGTGAGTTGCCAACGTTATCGACTGCTGCGCAAGCGGGCGTGACTGCTCCCTTTTCGGGATGATTGGGGGAATGCGAGTGTGTGATAAACCGAAAATGTTGAGGAAGCTAGAATCACCACGCCCTCGTTTCACTTTGAGGATTAAGGTATTAAAGAATAAGTCATAGCAAAACAAGAACAGTCCCCTCATTGGCGAACTTGGCACAAAAGACTCTAGCAGATAGAACCCTCATCTGAGTAATAACATTAATTATTCGGAAAGACGAAAAAAGCAAGAGAAATCAGACTAAAGTTGAAATATTTTTAAGCACTAAGTTAGTATTTTAATTGACTAAAGTGTGCCTAAGCTTTCCTTAAGTTCATATGTGAACACGTCCGGCAAACGGAAAGCACGCTGGCAGCATTCCCACGTGTCAGCCTCAGCAGACAGAGGCCGAAGCCCATTGTTTAAGTGGACCAAGGTACGATGGTCGACAACTGGAAGATCCTCAAAGCATGCGTCAGGAGCGAGGTATTTGCTGAGACGAGAGTGCATACACGCAGGACAGAACGTAAATGCCGCAAGTGTTCTCTCCAACCGAATGGGTGCCGTTGGGATTGTTGCTCTAACGCGAAGCGCCTGCGTCTGGGTTTCGTCCACCTGTAACAATCCCTGAAATACACTGATACTGACGCAGAGACGAGCTCTGGCCACGCCGGTGTCAAGTAAAACGCGTTTCAAGTCACTCACTGACAGAAAAGGGGAGGCGAAGTGGTGGTGGCATAGGTAAGCAGATGCGGTGGCGACCAGGGGAGCGGACAGCCAGAGGACATGGCAGTTCGACCGTCTTTGTTGACGCGTCTGGCCGGTTGCACTCTTAGAGAGCTGCGATAATGAATGTTAAGTCAAAAATTGCTCATCCACACATACTCTCTCTGATCTTTTCCAGTAACACACACCGATGCAACTTCTACTGGAATGAAAAAGTTAAGCTGTAAATGGCAGCCATGAGTTTACATAGCATGCATGCTCTTGGAAAAAAGCAACGCTTGGCCGATGCGGTTCTGTTCGTTGGTGCCTCTTATACCTACTATCTATTGGCTATAAAGTACGGAAAGGAACTTGCGACCCTCCTTCTATTGCTCATGAGTATTGTCAGTGGCGTCAAGGAGCTCATAAGCATCGATAGCGCGCGCCCCCTTGGTCAGCTCAGTCTGACTTCCAAATCAGACTTCTCCTCGCATTCAGCGCCCGGTTAAGGGAAAGCTACGTATGCACACGCATCTACTGCGTCTATTTTGCGTGGCGAGATGCGCGCAGCATAATTTTATGCCAGGCGTGCGGACGACCCACGGTCCTATAAGGGTATTTGTTAGGACATACAGGCTGCGAACTCCAGGAATGCTCCTGGTAGGGGACTGTCTATCCCGACCGTTTTGAGTGCCCGTACGGCATGGCTACTTGCGCCGGTACCAGCGACTCAGTTGATCAGAGAGGTAGTAAGGGAGTTGATACAAATATCGGACTTGCTGGGGATTTACCATGGCCTAGTCGGGGCAACCGGTGAGAACGAACCTCGTCATCATGTATTGACCTGGATGGTCATTTGTGAATCCATCACACCGAAACCGGTGAACCAGTGCCTGCAACCCCGACATACCCCCATCACACCAACCTAGCTTGCCCACAATGTCCTAGGACATTCAGACAGACCACGTCTTCTCGGTGTCAACCGACGACGCAGGAATTCATCGAAATGTCGGCACGTCAAGCCCACATCATACATCTTAAAATCACCTCTTCACCAGCGCTACCAATCCCTCCCCCATCATCAGCGTCACCACCACTAACAGAACAGATATCAGTCTATCCTGCCTATATTACCATCGCACATCTACATCACGCAACGACCTGGTGGATCAACTGCGAACTCATCGCACGGAGACTGAGGCCCCAGTGCCAGAAGCAGCAACATGCGTCCATCACGCGCGCCTTGCCCGCCCACACTGCCCATAGACATTCAGTATCCACATGGACTTACTTGGCCATGAGTTCCCATGAAAAGCTGCGTAAAACACTGCAGTCCAAACCCCGAAATCACACATCGCGCCGTCACCATTTACAACACACCTGAACCTGCTCCACAACATCCAACTCTCAGGTCAGTGGGAACCATGCTGCCTGATGCAACCCGATGCCTGGCCAGGTCGTATGAACTCCACCTAGGCCAATTGTTGCAAGTCTGTCAGTCACTTTGTCCAATTTAAGCAAAAACTGCCTGTCATGCTCGGGCGATGGACAAATGGGCGGAGAGGAAAGAGAGGATGAGACAAACTCTGGAGAACTCATTTCCAAGTCGCATTAGCGCATCCCCATTATAATAAATCTGACGCGCTTTGAAACTCTCGCGACAGGCCAAAGGCCGTGGTTTGAAATGCTGTAACTGCTGGGATAACTGAGTCCTCGTGATCACTACTCTGAGTGTTTATGGGGGATAACTGGCCCAGAGACTGTGAGTAAAGCCCAACGTCTTCTGTGACACTATTACGAACGTCCGCTTCTAACAACCACCCATTGCGAAAATCTGATACATGTCCGAGGGACTCATTTTGGTATGGCTATTTAACTTTGTCAGTTATTACTGTCGAACCCGCCTCGGGTCGTCTCTACTGCGTCTCGCCACGTGGCTCACATGGGGAGGGAGAGTGCGCCAGACATTGCGCAGGTCTGCTATCACTGTAATCAAACTCACATGCAAGTCATCGTCCTGTTCCGCCATGCAGTGAAGAACACAGTACACATCGCCGTATGCAGAGTTCGAACTGTTAGGTATCAACAACATTGCGGTAAACGCCGCCAAACGGCCACCACAGTGGAGCAAGAACATAAAATTCGCCGGGTCTCATTTAGCAGTTATCCTTGAGGCTCTAGCAAACAGAAGACACATCCAGGCAAACACGGCAGCATGCTGGCTTCAACCGGTGCGGAGGGCCAACTGAATAACTGCAAAGTTTCAATGAATTATCTTTGCAGAGACAAACGCGTTCAAACCTGTAGAGTTATAGATAGAGCAGGTGTCAGCCGCGGTTGATGCAACATTGACCAGCAAGAAGACCGCCAACGGAAACAGGAACCACTTAAATGAGCGGCTTCATTTCAGACATTACGCCCTATGAAGCATAAGACGAATAATCCATGATTTTGAAGTAAAAAAACCGGTGCCTTCAGCATGCTAGAAAGTTACGACGTATAGAAGATTATCCCAAATTTGTTCATATAACTAATGAGACGACTCTAGGGATTACCGCGCTCATTTTCTACAACATGCTCACTACCATGGTGGAGGGACACTCACCGATCGTTCTTACGGAACTCACTCGTTCCGTTGTGCCTAACGGGCTCTCTCTCGAGCCCAACCATCAGCAGCACAGCTGCGCACGATATAGGCAGAATGCTATTAATGAAAAAGACAAGGAGACCAGTCTCACTTGTTTCTGTCGGTAGTAAAATTATGCCCATTACGCCCGGATCTAGCGCATATAACAGGCAGCCTGAGAGGTGTCTTTGAACTTCTCAAAGTCAAAAACATTTAAGGGACGAGCACACCGCGCATACAATTTGAATCTCCGCGTGAAAAACAAGACTGAGTCACCAACCCGAGACTAAATTATGATCAGAAACCCTGGAATTCTGACAAAATACTTACCTCACACCTAGTCTCCTAAAATTCTACTCGCAGAAGCCTAACCTCACAATTATGAATATATTCTTATAAGGACCCCAAAGGCGGTAATCCATGTAAGTGGCTGTCAATCACTTCTGCTGAGCAAACTACCAACGGGGTAAACAGGTCAACGACATCCTCGGGTTTTTTGTAGTGAACCAAGAATCCCAAGTGATATATGCTCACAGTAAAGAGAGGGCGAAACTGGCCGGTTAAGAAATGGAATTCGGTCTGAGGGCAGTCATGCTGAGGGAAGTTACTGACACTTAAGGAAATCCATGTGTGCTCTGAACATTTCAACCGAAAGGACTGCAAAGGATCCTCCCCACTGGAATACGTTGCGTCTACAAAGGTAGCTGGTGCAAAGGAATTATAAATTTGGTTTTCAATGTAGGCGATGCAACTCACGAAACACCATGACGGAAATCAGGATGATCCTTTCGGCGCACGGCGTAGAGTACGTATCTTAAATGTTCGCGAGTGCGTTCCAGAACGCGTCCCAGTTACATATAGAATATGCTTCTAAGTGATTTTATCAAAGAAGAAATTTATGAATTGGGAAAGAGACTGGGGCGACGATCGAGTATGCAGACCTTAGTTTTTGCTTCTATAACATACCTGCCTACTTGATTTAGGTAGGCATGTTACATTAGGGTTACGCTTACTGACCAAACTTAAGAAAGTGGCTAGGGCTAGTGCCAGGTTAAAAATTAAGGTTAGGGTAAATTTTGCCTGTCGCGCGCGGTCTTGACAATCTGGCCTTCAATAACTAACGACCTTGTATTACCTGTTTTTTTGCCCGTTTACACGTCCGCCAGTTCGTATATTCCAGACTGCGCTGTCCTTTCCGGCTCATCGTTGGAGTAATAAAACAAACATGACGGAATTGCGAGTCTTCTCTGACCCGAAGATAAAACTAATATTAACATCCTCCCCATATTGCAGGGGTCTCCTAGCTTTAGTTTCTCCGTGGACTTACAAATCAAATCCTCCTCGAAATCGACGTGCCCTTACATTCAGCAATTTCCAGTACTAATAACCGTCACAGAACATATTTATGCATTAGTGCGTGTTCCTCTATTGAAAACCAATTGGCTAAACGAGGAAGACTTACTAAAAATACCTACGCTCGATTCAAAACCAATATTTCACCCAGCGTTGATCAGATGAAGTGGGATGTGAATAGCACACTCATTTACAAAAAATAACCTTATTCCTTTTTAAAAAGTCAAGTTATTGAGTCTGGGATTTTATGCCCTAAAAGGAGCAAATACGGTTGCTCTTTAATTTCTTTAGAAAGTAACTGTGAACTTGGGGTAGATCAGCATATACTAAGGTCTATGGACGCAGACCGAAATTTGATGTATGAATATTTGAGCCGAAGTTCATCAGTCACAGCCGTAAGTATGGTATCTTGTAACCATAAAGTTGTTCAAACGTCTGCAAATAATTCCTTGAGTTAACTTACTTACTTGGCACTTGGTACGACTGCGATTATGCCTGATCTAGCCGGCTTTGATGGTGCCCCGAACTGTACCTCTCCACGCGTGACGATCCGCGGCAGTATATCTGGACAGCTCAACACATTTTCTTCGCCAACGACGGAGACCGAATACCGAAAGTCAAAGAATCACCTCCATGTCTTGACGGACTGTGTCAAACCAGGTTTCGAGTTGACCCCCTCTTCAACGCCTCCAATGGGGTAACGGCGAGGATCGAGGGCAGTAACGCTGAGCTCCTGAGGTGAACGACGAAGGACATGCCCAAACAACTTCAGTTGTCTTTCCTGGGTGGCCAGATATATGCTAACGATGTTGTCACAGCGAGCGCGAGCTGTCTCATTTGAGACGAAGTCCGTATACTTCACTCGAAGAATGGTCCTCCAGCAGTGGTGTTCAAATTTCTCCAGTTTTCGCTCGTCGTCCACGCGCACAACCCAGCATTCACAACCGTAGAGAAGGACTGACCGGACAGATGCACGGCACACTCGAATTTTAGTGGCAATGGAGAGGTCGCGTCGGTTCCATAGGCGTTTTCAAAGGCTTGAGAAAACTCAGCGGGCAGCATCAGTTCGGGGACAATGTCGTCCGTACTATGTTAATTAGACAGCAGCCTCGTCCCGAGGTATTTAAAACTGTCTACTTCTTCAAGTTGACAACCATCAATCCCGAGAAGTGCCTTATCCTGGTCAGAGATGCAGCTTGAAGACGCTTTGGTCTTCCCAGCGTTTATTGATAAACCGGCCGAAGTAGCGGCCTCGTTCACCCGTGACACCATCGACTGCAGATCACCAAAACTTGAAGCAAGTAAGGCGATATCATCGGCATAGTCAGCGTTAATGGATTAACCGACGGATTTAGCGATCTCGTTCACCCGTGACACCATAGACAGCAGATCACCAAAACATGGAGCAAGTAAGGCAATCTCATACTTGTGTCAACGCGCGTCTATTTTCCTGTCAACGAAAATATGCAATATGTAACTACGAAAAGGTCCATCACTAAGCGACCATTTAGCTTTTAAGCATATGGTAAAATGCGTTTTGTGCGGTCTAGTTTCCACTAGTAATTTAGAAACGAAAACAGCATTACATTAACGGTGGGAGCGATATTTCGGTATTTATATGGGCGTTATATGAGACACTTAGAATCTTTGATCGAAGTAAGCAAATATAGTAAGAATGGCCCTAACATAAACGAAAGAGCGAGAGTTACTCATTTGGGGCTGGACAGTTATCCGTACCTAAGTCCGTAAGCGGACCAAAAGTTCCGGTTTTTCTCTGGCTCCGCCTTGAAAAACAACGAAGTACGTGGATGTTCGTCGGCGAAATACCATATTAAGACGCAGTGTAAAGGTAATTTATCAGAGGTCTGACAAGTAATACTCGCATGCCTTCGTTGCAGACATGGATTTTCTGTGGCGATAGGGTGTCACGATTGGGTGGGTCTACGAATACGACCCAAAGCACCGTCTGCATAACGCCCGGGAGTCCACTAAAAATCTAACCGCTTTCAGGAAATACCTCCTTTCGAAGGTTTTGATAAACCCAAATTGCAGAGCCTATCGTCTTAGGCAGTTGGCTGACAGCATTGAAGACCAAAAGTATTTACCGACATTTCAAAACCACCGAATATCATCGGATCTCACCGTTGCCAAAAAGCAAAGTAATTTTGCGTGAGGAACGTTATCTAGGTACGGCGGAAATGACACGTTTGTAATCGTATCCGCCAATTCCATTCAAATTCCTTAGCCAGCAACCGACCTCTCGACACGCTACCTCAGGAGGACTTCTGTTCGCGTGACGTGACTGTCTGCTGAATCCCATTTTAGTCAGCCGCATACTGAAAGGCCGTTTCTTTTTGGAACATATTGTCAAACATTAGGTCATTCTGCAACGACCATATCTCATAGCACACCGATTCTTGTAGGGTGTTTAAGTGCAAACGGTACAAAAGGATCACTTCTAGACGTTGTGATCATGCTGTTTTGTTTAACTACTTATTCGAATCGACAGGCTTTATATACCTTCAGGGTACGAGTCCACTCAACTGACAGTAGTTTTTACGTCTTCAGATTTGTCGTTTTTCCTAAAAAAACCTACTACCTATAACCAACTTAGATTATTCCCAACAATTCTTTTGTGTCTTTATTTAGATGACGGCCGTTAATTTCCAATCGAGAGTTCTGGTCGGTGCATTTGGGCCGGTTTACGAGTAAGCAGTCGCATTTCATGAGGTACACAACACGCATTGGATCTGGCTAGCTACGTTACGAGGACGGTTAAATATCTCCTTATGGGATCAGAAAAACGAAAGAAGCGGGTCCGTTATGACTGACTTTTTCTTGAAACCAGGAAAAATGGTGCAAAATAATGAATCTGAAAATGACTTTGTCCTCATCTTTGCAGTACACACCGGGGCCAGGTAATCCAAAAAACATACACACATGCCAGGAAAGACCGTTAGGTAGACGGACATGGCGACCAGTCTCAATGAAACAGGACCGGGTCTCTCGCAGTAGCATAAGGCTCGGGGAGGGTTCGGCGCTTAGAGGTCACGTGGGAGGGCAGAACTCTGAGTTGTAGCAAAATTAGTAAGAAGTGCGAAAAAAATTGCTGATAGCAGGCGAGCTGCTATCATGTCAGTGCAGAGAAAATGCGAAAAAGAGGGAGTACAATGTAGAATGAGGAAGATGTGAAATCACAGGAACCCGTGGGATGCGATGAGTAAAGGCCAGCCTACCCCGGCAAATGAGTAGGGCGAAACCAAAGACGTGGAGGATGACCGGGAGAGAACTGCATGGTGAGGATGCAAAATGAGTCGACCAGGAGGGCCGATCAGGAAGGCGTGGAAGGCAAGGAGGCCGGCAGCTGCGGGTGGCTTTTAGATGGAAGATCGCAGGAGTTGAACTCCGACGGCGGATTACCAACGGAAAGGGACTGGGTCATTGAGTTGCAGGGAGTATACCTCGCGGACGTAGAGTATCCAGCATACATGGAATTCGAGAGGGAGGTCCTGTAGTCCAGCTGACAGGCCAACAGTTCTGCCTCAATGTTGAGACGCTGGCTGAACTCATCGGCCGCCCGCTTTCTGGCATCATTGAGCTGTTCGGATAGATCATCCACCTATGTGGGAGAGTTAAGGGTATAATACAGTAGGAATTGGCATTGAAAAACGGATTGACGGCATTTTTTGTGGCTAGCCAGGCCCTGACCAACATGCTTCACATATTTGAGCTCAATCGGGGTCGTAATTAAACCGGAATAATTTTGAAGAATCTGGTAGCTGGGCGTGCATACTTGGTGCTGCATCCCACTACATGTCTCTTAAAATAAAAACAATGGTGGATTAGGATAAAAATGGCATAACTTCGGTTATAAAAATATGCCGGAAACTGAGGTGATGTTCTTCAGTGACAATACGGCTGCATTTGGTAACAAGTTAAAAAAGAGAATTGTCAGTCTTCCCTACTTTGAAGTCAGCTGCTGCCAGCGGGATTCGCAATGACAGACTACTGGCGCATGTGAGATGCAAGATAATTAGATACGTGAACAAGCGCGCACGGAGGGCTACTCAGCCCTCATAAATCAATGCCGAAGGTGCGGTTGCACGGTAAGCGAAGGAAAAGGTGGAGGGGGGAGGAGTGACTTGAACATACGACTGGACATTAAGCAACCACAAAGATGCATTTTTTAAACAGGTAGGGTGACGACACTGAGGTACAAAGAATGCTGGTGCGGTAGAAGAATGAACAGGGTACCAGGAGGGTTTTGATGACCTGACACCAATGTTACCAGAAAATCCGAGGTAAGCTCATTGAGGGTGAAATCGACATGCTGCGCAGAACTATGGATTTGTGAATTGGACCAGTAGAAGAGAAATAGATGATATAGAACGGATGAGCGAAACTTTGGCGAGGTTTCATGCAGCCTAGGTCTAGTAAATAACACCAAGAACTTCCAGATGAGGAACACAGCCATCTGAACGTTACAGAGAAGGTAGTGTTTCTTCTGCGGCAATGACATGAAGACTTACGACTAGCAGTAACGCCTTAAGAAGGGGTACGTCGTGTTTAATGAAATTCCCGGAGCGTGCTGTCTCTGGGATGATCGAGGACGATCGACTTGCTTCCACATCACTGTACTGTCATGAATCGGATGGATGCAGCCGTACGTAGTCGATAAAGTGCATTCCTTTAACGCAATAACCAACCTAGTCACAGTTGGTGGGTGGAGCGGCAAGATCCTCAGAAATGCAGAAAATCAGCCCACAGCCAATGTACCAGAGCAATTTTGCATAAATCTACCAGCCCACACTTCTTGAACTGTACCGCAATGGAACTTGAGCTGAAAAAGATGAGAATCTGAATACAATCTATCAGAGTTAGGAACAAATGTTAGTTTAGGGTACCTGACTTCCACATCCACGGGCAAAGAATATGCTCAGGCATCTACCATATGCAGTTAAATAAATTTATAGGGGTTACTGAGAAGTAAATGCTATGCGTTATTTCATACTAGAAAGTGATGAGTGACAAAACTGGCAGGATGTAATTTTATAACCCGAACATCTTCCAACAGTGAGTTTCCATGTTCTTCTAATTCATTCAGCAGAACTCAGAGAAAGCACTTAGAAGGAAGAGGAATATTTGCCGGGAGATCTTTGCGTACATAATAAGCAAGAGTGGAATTACATCGTAAAATACCTTTGTGCACATGTGGATAGGGACGAATGAAGTCGTAAAGTTTCGCGTCGGGCAGCATGACAAAAATATTTGTCTGTTGTAACGTTATTTCACTGCAATTAAATAAATGGACCTCCAGCAGGCTTTACAAAGTGAAATTGAAAGTATCCTGATAATCGTCAGTAGGGTTGGAAAACGGGATTATGGATCCCCTCGCAGTACATGCGGCCTTGCGTTGAATTTCAGGGAGTACCTGTTCTCAGAAGTTAACTTTAATTCTAACCCCTTCCCCTGGAATTTAGCGTAACGCCAGCTGTAATACGAATGGTCCATATTCCCATGCCCTAACGCAAATTGGCATAGGACAATCACAAGGTGCGCATCCGGTAAGTGTGAGTATGAACGCGGATAGACAGTATTTAATGGGCAACAGCACCTGAAGAGGCGAGTACAGAAAGAAAATCAGCAAACGACCAATGATAAGTCGACAAGAAAGTCGGAAAAAGAGAGTCTAGGCCTACCATTTTAGTGAGCTCTCGGATTCGAACGGATGATTCTTCTAGAAGCTGGTCCTGGCTTTTGGGATACTTCTTTGCGAGACAGGCAGTGTCAGCACCTGCGGGAAGTGGCCTGCAGAAAGTCCAGTCCGAATGCTCAGGATCCCAGTCAGCAACGCAAGAACCATGGTTAGTTCGCAGCAGGGGGACGGAGAGTTTTCGATCCAGGAAATTGGTGATCGGAGGTGTAGCGCCAAAGGTGCGCTTTTCGTCAAAATGGCAGGATTTAAGGAAACGGTAAGGACGTATCATTTCCAGCCGACGGTGGAGTTCGGAGAGTCGTAGGTCACAAATGGAGCGCTCATCGTCTATTTCTGGCAATTCGGCCTGAGCGGACTCCAAAAAACCTGCCAATAATGGGAAAACAGACACGCCAGATGGCAGAAAAAAATCAACCTTTGGGGCAAAGAAAACTTCCGAACAATAAGGAACAATGCAGTCGCAGGGACGGGCCACATATGATCTGCCAGAGTAGGCAAGAAACAGCACAGAATAAGACATAAGATAGGGTTTGACTTCCAGAATCTGTATTGGCTTTATTTAAAACCAGTTTGGTCAATTCCAGTACTCAGCTATGCGGTCGACGACCAGGTCGTCGTTAGTCGTACAAATGGCATTCTTTTTTCGAACACCCTATAGCGCCGATTCGAGCATAATCATCGAATTGGATAAGTTACAGATGATTTTATACAATTTAACACTATAACGGAGACGAAAACTAGGATGACGAATTAAAAGCGGGCTGGGAGGAATACTTGAGCAGCATGAATTTTTCCACCGACTTTTGATGCTCTTATTCATTCAAATATTAGATAGAACATATGATTAAAATGTGCTTCCTTGTACTCATTTGGTTGCAAATTGCGTCATAAGATTGTAAATCCGAAGATGGGTATTTTTCGGTTTTAGAATGTTTGCAAATATGAGGTTCTATAAGACTGTGAAATGTATGCTCAAATAGCATCGTATCTGTCTGTTTGTTAATGTTCCTACGAAGTACACAACAGAGCCTACATAAATTGGACAATTGTATGAGTCCTATATGGTAACTTCTTAGTGGTAAAGAAGAATGTGGGGTTCCTTTACATGGAAAGCATACAGTTTCTAGACGGTAAACCCTGAATATGAATGCAACGGCAGATCGGGCTCGAACTTTTTCGGGAACTGAAATTATCTTAAACCTTAAATATATTGTTTACCCTGGCATCAAATTAAAAAAAAGACATGAATTGCTGTCAGATTTACACAAGTAAGTCTATTTTTGACCATGTTATCCACAAAACATGTTTTAACTAACAATAGCATCCGAAATGAATGAAAAAATTCGTTCCACTTAAGTGACAATCTTTTTACCGGTTGAGGTTTTTGCAGTCGGTCAAAAAGAGAAGCATCCAAAAGTCGGCAGTCTGGCGTGACTAAAATACCTTCGGGTCACACTGCACGATAATCAATACTACAGCCTTAGTTATGTAATCGAAAACGCATTTAAGAATTGTAGTTAACAATTCATAAGATCGGTCACCAGCTGTAGCAATGTCTTCAGATCCGAGCAGTACTTAGTAGAAGACCAATGCTCAACAGTATGCGTCCTACGTTCCGCATACTACAACAGTTCTTCGGGTCACAAAGAGTCTAGACTAATTAATTGCAGGTTATTCGGGATGGAATATCAAATCACAAGTTTCCTCAAGGAGAACTTCAGTAAACCAAACCGAATTTCGTACAGAAACTGACAAAACAGACAACCAAGGCTTACTGATATCTTGCAAACCATGGCGAGTCAATGTCTAACCAGTGCAGGGCCAGCACAAACAAAAGACACTAATTTCTCCGCGTTCCTACGTGCTGAGAGGTGCAAAATATGTAAAAAACATGCTGGCGTCCAGTCTCCTCCGTCCTTTCTCAACACAAATAATTTAACCCGAGCTTTCAGTCGGAAGGCGAAGCATTCGTCGGGACCGGAGTCTTTCACGGACTTTGCAATCCTCTTCATTCTTTCAAAACCTTACCCGTTGCATGCCTCTTAAAGGACAAACTTTACTTCGAAATAACCAAAATTCGCCCAGAAATAGGCTGTCTAACAAGTTTGGCAAATCGTGAAGTCAAACACAAAGGCGAAGACATTGCAGGGACAGAGGACGAAAGGTGACGATAAAAGTGAACTCTCTCACCAAAACTGACAGGACTTATGACGCGTTAATTCATGCACTTTGCGCTATTCACATTTCAAAGACAGAGAGAAGGATGATCGCGTCTCAGTCACTAGAAACGAGCTCACCTCCTAACGTTCGCGCTCTCAGTTCAGAGACCAAGGTGCCAGAATGTTGACACGAGATTTGAAGACTTCGACGTGGATGTCCTTCTTTCCGTAAGCACTGCTGCTGCACAGCCCCAGAATAGCATCGCCGATTTCTTCCATAGAGAAGAGGCCATTTTGGACACCACATAGCAATTGATGCCACACAGTTGTGGAACCATGTGGAACATGAATGGAATTTAGTCCGTTAAACCCACAGTTCGACCATTGTTTGAACCGAAGATCAACAGATGCTTGTGGCGATATTGGAAACATGCGTTGATGACAACAAACCAATTCCGTTTAGCAAAGCCCAAAATTCTCTCATCTCATTGAGAACCAGGCCTAAAGCGGCCAGTAAGACGATTGTCAGATGAGTCGCTTGACTAAGTCTTGGCAGTCTAACCGCCGACAACGTTCAGTAGGCCACAATGAGGAAGGTGCTTAACCAGCTCTTGCAGCTGCGAGTACATCTTACTAATCGGTTAGTGAGGTTGCTTCGTAGACACAGACGGCAGCGACGTTTGTTAAATGTCCCATCAGTCTTACGTATGCCAGCAGGTCATTGGCTGGCCTGCACACAAGCAGTAAATGTTTCGCGCCGTATCTGCCAGAAGTTGGTGCGGTATAAGGTGAAGTGGAAGTGGAGCCTGAGATCTTGATTGTCCGAGCGCCTGAGCGAGAGATTCCTAAAATAACCTGGGGATGGTCATCCACCTCATACTGTTGAAGACTGTGTCACGTGAGGCTTTGGGTACCAGGGACGAGGAACAGTCGCACATTCCGGCATCTAATACAAGTGTCCTCTTTCGATTGGGCAGTCTAGCTTGCCTTATATTCGCCTGCCTAACTGGAGAAGTCACGAAACACATTGATCAACGTGGACGACGCAGCATGGGTCCAAATACGTAAATCAAGCATTCCCCTAAGTTTTATCTGAAATTTTTAGCCCACGTGAACCCCCAACAGTTAACCGAAATGTTTTTTCAGTTATAGCCCCTAGCGTTCTGACTTAAAATCTAACTAAAGGACAGTGGTAGCGAGGAAAATTATTTAATGACGGTCCATGGTCGTCATCAGGCTTTGCAACATTTTATAAGGCAGCCGAAGTGCCAGACTTTAGTCCTCGGCATCATAGTAGCACTGTCATTGATGATATGCGACTACTTATTTAACAGACCCAAGAGCCGGCTTACCCCGCAATTAGCCCATTCCACCATAGGCAACCCATGGGCTGATCAGTTAGGTAGCAGCCAGGCCAGCTGGTAAACCCGTCTTTCCGGAGTGAACGTCGATAAAGATTACAAACAGGGTCTTCGGGATCAAATTGCTGATAAATTTAAATAATATGGGTGACGGGGTGAAGTCATGTCGAAATCCAAGTCAAGTACAGAAGTGTTGGAAAAGAAAATGGACATTCATATGGCAATAGCACGCCTTGATCGCAACGAAAATTTTCATAGAAACACAGCCTGGTCACATTTTCCATCACAGAGATTCACATCGGGCAACTCGAAAGCTGTAGAGAAGGAATCAAACTGAGCGGCAGTCCGTTGCTTGCAAGCACGCGAACTACTGATCGGCGCGTCCGCGTCCACTTACGTGCCCAACAATGCAAGCCTCACCGCGCCAACATGGATGGCAAAACACTTATTTCATGAATTCTATCGGGAGTTTTTGGAAACGGTTTAATTCGTGTGCTTGCAGCTGACTACCCCAGTGCATGGGCACGTTAAACCATAACAGTAGGACAGCGATAAAATAAGAACCCATCTAGAAACTATGAATTATCATTAAATTACGGTATCGTAATAGAAATTTGAGGCAGTTTGTGGAGCTTTTTTTTAAGGAGAACTCAGATATTCGGATTCTAGTAAGACTGTCGCGAATGCGTCGCGCAACCATTTATTTTTCCGATGCAGAAGTCGAATTCCTTCGCAGCCAACTTTTGGTAAAGTGCAACTCCCTGTCTGCCATCCACTGAGGCGCCGAGTAACCAGCAGGGCAGGTGGTCTCGTTTGATGAGGCGGTGCATATCATTGCAGCAAAATGCGCACGTACCTGAGGTTATACAGCAACAGCAGGGCATATGGCTTGGTTAGGTGCAACGGCAACCATGAAAAAATTAAAAACCCCCTTCCCATGAACAAGCAACTAGATTTCGTAATGTTCGCCAAGAAAGGTAAAAGTTTATGGCAACAGAAAGCAAGCAGAGTCCTACTACGAATATAAAGAAAAGGGCAAGCATGACGGCGAAATGAAGGAGGACCAAACGGTAGTGTGCCGCGGGTTCAGGAGGGTGCTTCAGGCCACGAAATATCAGTATGTGACATCCACAACGCACGACACGAATGACTGCGGTGGAATTTGAAGGGAACATAAAAGACGTTATTATGCATGAAGCTGCGTTTTAACTATACGAAAGACACTGAAATGTTGTGCAGTGTGAGGGAACTCTTCGGCCAGCGGCTTGGACAACTCACTAACCTGTGGTCGGCTTGCCTAGACAACAGTGGAATATATTAATAGTCGAGCATCAAAAAATTCAACGAAACACGAAAAAGTAGGTTAAAGCGCCAGTTAAGAAAAGTACCGATTGCGTTACGCAGACAAGTCACGGCATCCGTATAATTCTTCTCCAAAAGGTGAATGTGCTTGGAAATGTTCTTTAGGGCTACTTCAGCCCGTCTTTCGTAAAAATTAGCCTAAAAGGATATGTGAGCAGAATTAGACCAGTAGGGGATAAGTCAGACTAGGTGAAAAAAGTGGCAGCACCTCCATAAGGCAAATACAATGCTACAGGGGCGAGCAAAAGTAAAGAAATGCTGGAGAACAGCCGCAGTGAATGAAGAGAAGTTATAAGAGATAGCAAAGTTTCCAACACTAAAATTGTGCGGGCAAGAGGAATAAGGTTGGTTACTAACAGACTAAAAGCTATACCCATTTCCATTTAGTTTTCTTGTCAAGTGGGTTTAACAAATAAAAGGCACCTTTTACCGGTCTGAAAACTATTTGATCAAATAGTTTAGAATAAGTAGTACCTCATTCACCATATAATAAGAGCGAAGTCTCCTTGACGGGTCAAACTTTTCTCCTACGTTACAAATCTAAACTCTGTGTGGAGAAGATTTTAAGTCATATTCTGGCCAGCTTGTACATATTAGTACAGAAACACAAAAGCTGGGGCCTGCGTTTATTGCCAGATAGGCTAAAACAAACAGACCATTCACATCCGTAGTGATAAAAAAACCGAAAGGTCCGTGATCTGACAGGCGTACGATGTTTGGAGAGGCATGTTCAACGGAGGTTCTAGGCCATATGAAGGAAAAACTTTCCGACTTTATTTCTCAAAGCCGAAGATAGTCGTTAACGACTGAGGTTAAATTAACGCGACACTACGGTCTGGGCAAAAATAGGTCAAATATGGGCGCGAGAGCTTGGATGAAAGCAGAGGATCACGACGCCAACCCACACGCGAGAAGCAACGAATTATCTCTGACTGTCTCACGCGATCAGTTTTCGGAATTAAGCTTCCGATTACCAGGACAGCCTTAGAAGAGAAGCGAGAAAGAGTTCACAGCTATTAACACAGCGAATGGCTATCGAACGAGGTCAAACGGTTAGGTTGGGAGAACTCTGACCTACGATGACTCCAAAACTTTTAATGCAGAAAATAATGTAAAGTAAACAAAGGCAGTCGAAAGCATGCTTTCGACTGCAGTGTCCTGGTACTGAAACGGCAGCAGATAGCCACAATACTCATGCCATAAAGACCATGAAAACAGAGAAGCCGACAGAGCATTATCACTGCTTAGCGAACTGCCACAGGGAGATCCAGTATGCATGCCCTAATTAAGTCGTGCGTGTCAGATTTAAGTCAAATGGTGTCATTACATAGTGACACCAAGTGCATGTACACAGTAAGTAGAACTCATTCCGCGACACATGTTTTTCGATAAGAACTCGCCTTATTTAAGTTGCTGTCACACTCCAAAAGAACTTCCATGACTTTGAGTGCGACAACTCTGAAGATACATGGAAAGCGAGGCGGGCAGCTTGTACGCGTTCACACACAATCCAATTTAAAATAGTCGCCGGATAGCTAATTGGATAAGAAAGGCAGGTACCACGTCGGAATACCCAATTGAAAGCCCACTGGAAAGATAACCTTGGAAAATGATTAAAACGATATTCCTTAAAAATTACAATATCACTAGGAATGCAAAAATATAAACATGTGGTGTATAAAATAAAGGGAAAAATACGAAAAATTGCAAACAAAAATTTATTCTTGTCGCAGCCACAACTACGTGTGTGTGGAAATGCAGGCGGCAAGGTTACTTTCTGTTAGCCAATCAGACAATGGCTCACGCCGCTCACAGCGCCCGAACTCATTTCGCCGCACTGATGTCGTGACGCGCTTTTCGCGTCGCTTGCGATTTTGTTTTCCTTTTTACACACGATGGATTCTAATCATACAACAAGCGCCCTTTTAACTCATATCCCATTTGATTCTTTCCACTCTGGAGAGACCCCGAAAAATGTCTCGGAATCCACTAAATTTTTCCCTCTCGAATCAAACGATGTTCTCAACACGCCAACAGGAGTCGAACTCAACGGATTAGTTCGCTCTAGTAGGATATTTTTTCCCGAAGACTTTGGGAAAAAAGCTTCGACATTACAACCGGCTTCTACTGTTCATCTGAGTGAAACAGTGACTGACCCTTCTCGTGTTAAATGCCAGGAAGCCCTGGATACTGGTAAGCAGAAATGTTTAGTTGGTTATTTCAGTGTATTTTACAATTGGAACCAGATCCCTCCAGAATCCTTGTTTTTATTGAAAGGTCTGGCTTGTTCTCCCATATATTGTCGTAAAACTGAAATTTTGAATTCTGGGGATACAACGAATCACAGAAACGACAGTTCCCATTTGGATAAAGTCCGTCTTAGATGAAAAACCTCACGCACTTGTTTGTATTTTTTGATTCCTTATGCTCCACATAACTACTAACCTGCTGCTGTATCCTGTTAACCCTCAGTGAGCTAGCAGTCTCTTTGCCTGCGTAATAAATATCATGACCGTCGCAGATTGAAGGGACCCCACATAAGCTAGTTCACATAGTCTTACATCTATGAAAATTCAAGCTCATTGCTAGGCGTATTAAACATTTGTCCTCTGCCATCGCATCTAATCTAACATGACAAGATTTCGTGCATGACCCGTCACTATATGCCGCTGTTCTTTTTTATCGACCTGCGCAGGTTAAGAACACCCCCACAACGGTAATTATGGGTGGGCATTATAGTTTTTAACAGTTACTGAAAGAAATGTCTTTGCTTTCATCGTGCGCTTCCGCGAGCAAATATCATTACCAACTCGGAGCACTGATGTACGTTCCTTGTTAGACAGGGCATTAGAAATACAGTAAGGTATTTCTGCACACATTGTAGCGGCCGAGGACGTCAAGGGTAGCACACACCAGAGTAAGGAAACGCCGAGAAGAGATCTTGGCCGGGGTAGACCCGAACGGAACTGTTAGCATTCCTTGGTACACATCCATACACAGAAGAAGAAGGCATGTCGAATAAGGGATAAAAATTAATATGACGAGACTGCACGGGGAAAACGTATAATAATCGTAATTGTACAGGAAGGATGGTTACATCTGTAGAATGACCTGTCTGGGTGGAGAGACGACGCCAACATGCCAGCTAGTAAACCGGTGGGGAGCGCAGCGCTGGGGGCAACTGCAGGGAAGGGCCGAGGGAGTGCCGATGTAGTAAGGAGGCGAGCGGTACGGACGATACGTTACGTTATGGTACGACGAGGGGGAAAGGGATCGGCAGAAGAGAGAGGGAGGGACACCGGTTATCTTCACCGACACGCGACTACGCCATTTCCACCCTAGGTCCTCGCGCGGAAAAGTGTCACACATTCAAACAATTCTGTTCACATCCAGGGGCGTCACAACATGGCGTGTAGAGGAGGACCGCAAACCTTTGATTCCAGAGGCTGGAATTGTATTATGGAGGTAAACCCCGTCCATGACCCACCCTACAGCTTCCGCCCACGAAACCTACGCGATCCCGCACACCCCGCTGTTAGACAATGTGACTTAGATTAAAATTACGCGACGGATTTTTTAAAAAACTTGCTCTGTACCGTTTTTTACCATTTGCGTAAACAATGTGCCCGCCTCGTATGTCATGCCTCTTTTAATTGTCTGCTCTGATTGAGCATTGCGCAGCTCGACGGTGTAGCGGCTAGAGCAGTGGCACAGTTACCGCTACAATTTCAGTGCCCGGTTTCCTTCAGGAGGACAATGGAAGAACATTATTTGTAGGTATTCATTTTGTGCAGAATCCTGCAGGTGGTTCGAGCCAGCGACCGGTGGTAGGCCTAAGCACCTTCTATGAACGAGGGTGAGATAAGTCTCAATGCCTGAATGTGCGTCCCAAGTGAGAGCCAGTCAGTGCCAGTTTAGTAACGGAACTTTGTTTTGTAGACTATGTGAACGGTCTGGTTGCGCACATGATCTTCGTTGTCGAAAGCGACGATCAAGTGGTTCCTCGCCTTTCGTGTGCCGAACAGGAGGTTGGCTTCTGTGCGCTTGCGGTATCTATAACCGCCCTCGGATACCATGCGGAATACGATGCGAACGATAAAACCGTTGGTCAGCGTTTTTGGTGGCTGTAAACCATAGTCTATTGTTATATGCACCATCAAGCAAGGCTGGTGCTGCGGCCTGTGCAAATGCCTAATTGAGGTAGGAAACTAAGGGTACATTGCGACGGCCTTATTAGAGTGTGCCAGTATGTCAGCACGTTGTCATAATAGGCAAGGGCGTAACTACACAGAACATCCATGGATTACTGGAACAGAACAATTCACCGTCATCCTCCCTCAGAAGTTGAGTTTGAGTGCAGAAAATGTCGAACGCATGAAATGTTGACGATACAAACGGAAGTGCGGTGGATTTTTGAAAAGAGATCTCGAATAATATTCTGGTTAATTAGGAAGAGGTGGTTGATAAAAAGGTGGAAGTCATTTAGTTAGTGACCTGTGTTTAGGGCTGTGTTTGCTCTGTTGGACCCGATTCAAGGCCCAGGAACGGAGGGCATCAGTCCTACTGATAGCACTTATCTTGCCCGACGGTGAGGTGTCGCCAGGATCGTTTTCTATACCGTTCACGTGTTATCTGGCGCAATAAAACGGAGGTACCATGCTGGAGTGTTGAAGTATGCGCATATGTAGTTAAACCAGGTCAGTGTGTGCCCTGCCTGGTCACATCGGCGTCACTGGTTAATAGGTATACCCAGTCATCACAATTGTAGGATACAAACCTCTTTAAGAGGAGAAAAACAGCATTAGTAAGCGTTTACCCTTCTCAGGTGCCCACTTATGGCCCGGTCTGCGTGCGCGTCTTTAGGCAGCGACGAATTGGGCGAGTGCGACTGCATCAGGTGAGAATCAGTGTCAGCTTATTGAGATTAGTAGATGGTCTCCGAGTTTGTGGGCACTTATGCTTTGGCTTTCTCCAAAGTGGAATGTACGCAAGCTACATTCACTCAGGAAGCTGTGATTACATGAATCAAAATGTGGTTAGTTTGTCAGGAGGAGGGATTTTGTATGCTCCGGATGCCACAATTGATTTACCTACATAATTTTAATGTGAGTAGATTGCGTTTGATAAAAACCACCCTCTACTAGCTTTTGCAGCGTCCAGTGTGCAGGCGAGGGGAGAGGGAGCGGATCCATGACACATAGTTTCTGCGGCGCAGCGTTCAAGTCTTATTTGCTTGTTGACTTCACATCCTCTCGGATTTTCACTGGTTGATGCTATCGAACTTCGATCCCTGACATATTGACTTACGAGTCTATTAATAAATAGTAGCGCCATAAAAATCAGTTTTATAGGTAGAATAGCACTGCCGACAAAGACAAAGGAGACTGGAATGTCCATTTCTGGCTTATTAGTCGTCGTCATCCAGTCATATCTAACCCCGAGGTGTCGAACACCTGGGGCTGGGTCCCACGACCTGTTGATTGGAAGTCCAACGCCCCTGACCACTAATCCACAGGACCTTTGTCCTTTCGGTTGCGATCGGGTATATAGAATGGTAGGAGGTCGCCCACCGATCGCACTACGGAACTCACTCGTCCCGTTATGCTTTGTATATACCCGCAACCGACAGGACAACGACTCCGTGGCTCAGTGGTTAGGGGCGTTGGACTTTTAACCAATAGGTCGCAGGATCGAGCCCCAGGTGTTACATACTTGAGGGTTGGGTCTGACTGGCTGACGACGGCTGATAAGCCTGAAATGGCCATTCCGGTCTCCCTTGTCTTTTTCGGTAACGCTATTCAGTCTATATCACACGCAGCTGCGCAACTGCAGGCCGGGGCTCGGGAGAGAGCCCTAAGGCACAACGGAACGAGTGAGTTCCGTAGCGCGATCGGTGAGCACCCTCCTACCAAAAGCGGTGTTTTTGGAGGTTCCATGCTGATTGTTCGCTACGTGTGTCTATAAATCGATACTCTCCGTCATTCTCCGCAGCGCGCTAGTCCACGCCTAACCTGTTCTGTACCGTATGTCAATCGGATGTGGTAGAAGCGTGTAAATTTAGTTTTGCAAACTATTATATTGAAAGTCATTCACAGATTAGACGTCTCACTGACAGTTTCATATCGAATGCGCGTGGCTTGTTTTTACTCTTCGGACACTCCTTATTTTATTAGTTTACACTTTTTCCAGCAAAGTATTCATATGCTGCTTTTTGCTCTACACACATTAGTTTGAACCGGTCTCCGCCGGTGGCATTTTATAGCCGATCGCTCAGCTAGTCTGTGCTTGTGACACTGTCTGGTTCGCCAAATGCGCTCACAATAGTCCCATGCCCTGCTTGTATGCGTTGATGCATGCGGGTATGATAAAGGAGGTTTCTTTTTTAAGGCCGACAAACAACCCTCAGACGAAAACTCTCCAAACGTAGTCGTTACTGTTC